TTACTTCGGATGTTATTTATCACCCATACTAGCTGATGATTTGTGGAGTGCCTCTTCCTGAACCCGAACTGTTCCGGTAGGAGAATGTTGAGAAACTTCAGCAAACGATTGAGAATGAGTTTCTCGAACAATTTTCTTAGCGCTGAAAGGAGGCTGATCGGTCTGTAGCTTGAAGCTAATGTTGGGTCCTTCCCGGATGGCTTTTATGTACGTGGTTCTCCCTCCTTTTGTAGCCCTTCGCCAACTTTCCGTGCAGCGCCGGTGGTGTAGTGGTAAGCGTGATTACCTCTCACCCCAAAAGGCCTGTGTTCAATCCCAGTCGACGCCGCCGGGATTTTCTGAGGCATATCACGCCTTCCTTCGGAAGGGAAGTAAAGCCATTGGTCCCAGTCTATGAGCTTGATAGGTTGATAGGTAGGGTCCAAGTGTGGGAGCTGCCTCCCTGGTAGCATTGGTACTCAGTACGAAAAACAAGATCGACGGAAAACAAATCAAGGAAAAATAAAACTTTCCGTGTGGAGTGTTCGGAAATTTCGTTGTTTTTTTAATTATTTGATAAGGCTCAAACGAATTAACTTTACAGAGTCGAGGATTTTTGGTCACTATACAATACATCTTAAAACTATAGTCAAAAGGTACACCACAATAAACACTTTATCTTCCGCTATCCAAAAAGCCTCCTCCATCAGAACTGGAGCTGCTTCCAGTGGTTTAAAAGGTTCAATTCACTTTGATGCTTTTTGGAAAATTTCAAAAGCAGTTTTTTCCGACGCATTATCTCTGATTACAAAAAGCTTGCACTATTCGATTCCTTTTGATATTTTACACAAAATGACGCGAGCTTTTTGCAATCTAAAATAATGCGTCGAAAAAAACTGCTTTTGCAATTTTAAAAAATGCATCAAAGTAAATTGAACCCGAGAGGGACGACTCTATCAACGTTGCATGAAAGATTGTGTTTTGCTGTGGCTAGCTGCGTGCACGCTGAATAGAAAGAAAGAAGCTTTTAACACATGACTTGTAACTTGTAAAAAATGGTCTACATCTGATTGACGACAAAATAAATAAATAAATAAATGACGATTCTGAAGATTTCCTGCAAAAAGATGCAAGTAGATGCAAGTTGTTATTAATGAACAAAACCTCGCACCGTTCTTGATAGCAGGTATATTTTATGCTTCAAGCTGTAAAACAAATTAATAAACACCGTGTACTATTTCATTATAAAGTCTTACTCACATTAAACAGTGCACTATTACACTGATAGTGACTCCTCTTAATTCCTCGTCCGTCTTGGTCTAATTATCTGCTACGATAGTTATGGGAACATAATTAATCTCTAGCATTAAACAATTAAGTGTTTCTAACCTACCAAAAGTAATTCACAATCATTGAGTCACTATTTTCAAACAACTTTGCTATATCTAGCAATATTTTTAGTCTCACCTATTAATTTCAAGTTAATTTATAAGGTACCACATAAATAGATAAGATACCACATTATCGCAATAGGTAAACATTCCAAATTCGATTATTCTATTGTATTCTATTCTATTGATTTCAACCTGTATAGAGATCTGTATTGCACTCATCCGTCCACTCAATGCGCGCCTAGTGTTGTTTGAGCGAACCTTCGTTTCGCCCAATCGTTTACATCGAAAGCGCCGCGGGCCGGGTTGCCGGTGCTGTGGTGGTGACAACATCCCCCTCCCCGTGAGGATGAATGGGACCCTCAACCTCACTACGTTCAGCTACGTCCAGCACAGCCAATTTGGAGACCGGTTGTCGGAACAATCCACCAGGTGTTTGAACCATCGCCTGCCTAACTCTGCCAGCTCGGCCTGTTGTCACCTCCAGAACACGTCCACGTACCCATCCGTTCCTTCTGGTTTCTTCAATCACGATCACCAAATCTCCACATTCAACCGGTTTTGTCTCACCAAACCACTTGGTACGCCTCGTTAGTGTTGGCAGATACTCCATAATCCACCGCTTCCAGAAATAGTCGATGCGCTGCTGAATCAAGTCCCAAGACACTCGGATAGTTTCTGCTGTTTCCGCAATTTTCATTGCCGGTTGTTTGACTCCAGTTGAACTGCCCATGATGAAGTGGTTTGGGGTCAGCGCTTCTTGCTTCGCAGAATCTAGTGGTAGATATGTGAGCAGTCGCGAATTGACGATCGCTTCGGATTCAACAACTAACGTTTGTAGTCCATCGTCATCGAGCTTCGGATCCTGGGGTAGATTAGTCATCGTGTTCTTGATGGAGCGTACCATACGCTCCCACGATCCTCCCATATGTGGCGCGGAAGGTGGAATGAACAACCACTTCGTTTCCGCGTTGGTAAATGTTGTCGCTGCGTCCTGTTCGATACGCTGGATTTGATCCCGCAACACCCGATCTGCTCCGGAAAAGTTCCGTCCATTGTCGGAGTATATTTCGAGTGGTGCTCCCCTTCGGCAAACAAAACGGCGTAAGCAGGCTATGCATGACTTTGTTGATAGATCAAAAGCCACTTCCACGTGCACTGCACGTATTGTTAGGCACGTAATCAGGCAGATCCATCGTTTCACTGACGATCGACCTACCTTCACCAGAATAGGCCCAAAGTAGTCGACGCCAATATAGGTGAACGGGCGAACACTCGGTGACAGACGTGCAGACGGGAGGAGACCCATCCTAGGCATCGTTGGTCTTGTTTTATACACCTTGCACCATTGACATCGCTCGGCTACCTTTCGAGCAACAATTCGTAAGCAATTCGAGCAACGTAGAACCGTTGACGTATTTCGTTGACCACTGTTTCAGAATTGCCGTGTAGAATCTTTCTATGGTAGCTGTCTACGATGAGATTGGTGACTCGGTGATTTCTGGGTAATATAACGGGAAACTTCACGTCTACAGGAACACCTTTCACTGCAGATATCCGACCATCGACTCGTAGAACTCCTTGTTCATCGATCATTGGTGACAGTCTCCACAGGGGGCTTGACTTCTCCAACTTTATTCGTTCATCCGCAGGACCGGCCGGGTTGCCAGTGCTGTGGTGGTGGCAACACAAGTAGATGCGAGAACTGAAAGAAGAGTTTTCGAAGATTGATTCGCTAGTGTGAAATGTTTTGAGCATCTAGTATTGGGATTTAGATGTGTCGCCCACCTCAATTGAACCTTAATTGTATGGCAGTTACGCCAACGAGGGTCAGAGCGCTTCCATTGCAGCAATAGACGCAAAACGTGGTCAGCACTCACACACTCATCACTAAACGGTCGCTTTCCAAATTCGACGACGCATCGACTGAAAGAACTGCTGATGAAGAACCTGAAGACCATCGCGTGGCACACATCGAGAGTGGCCTGCTTTTGTCGACAGCTGAGAGAACACTGAGTGTTTGGAAATGTCAAACAAAATTAGAAATATCCAGTTTAGGGTGATGCATGCACTTCCACTGTCGAGATTGCAGATCGATTTATCGCCATCTAAACTTAGCGATTTTTTCCGCCGGCGTTGTCCTACACCAATTCTCACTTTTTTCAAAGATGGTTCCGATCCCGAACGACGCGTGACAAGTGGAATGAGCCCCTACTAGAGCTTTTTGACGTTTAATCGGCGCACACTACTGCACCATTTAAATCGAACGAGTGCGAGCAAGAGGGAAACAGATTAGTGGGAAAACAAACCGTTCATTCATCCATGTGTGCTAGATAGAGAAAGACGATTAAACGTGAAAAAGGTCTTTTGAAATGAAAGCGCAAAAATCGAAGGAAGCAGTTTTCGAGTCATTCATTACATCACGTTAGTGTTTGTGATTAATTCAATCTTCTGTTTAGTTAGTTCTGTTAGTTTTATTTATTCAGTTTCTGATACTTTTACACTTTTATTGCTAGAAGCAATACATCTGGCAACGCTTTTTCAATGATACTTTTACGATTACTAGCAGAGCAGTAACGTTGAAGTGGATTTCTAGGTGTTCAATTTTGTTCATCAAGAGTTTTGAGCAGCAGTTGTTTTGAGTTTCTTGTATTCGATTGCGTTTAATTGTGTTATACTTCAAGTAAGTCAACACAGCGAATGTGTTTTACCCAGGAAGTTTTCGTTCTAAAATCATGAAATACATGTTTCAAATTATAGTATTGATAATGTGTGAATGTATGTGTATACTAAAAAGATTATGATTGAATATTACACAAAAGAAGAAGACTACAAATTTACTTACCTTTGTAGCACCTTAAACCTGATTACCACTGAAAAACAAAATGATTTACCCACATCAAATGGTATTTTCAATGCGTCATCATTGTATGTGAAACATCTGCGACATCTGTATTCCCACATGCAAGTCATCAACTATTCCCTGCAGTAGTAAATTCTTCCCTTCTTCCCTAGTTGAATATTGCATCATTTACATTTCCTGAATCATCATCGTCACCGTGGATAGAAAATCCAAATCCATATCATACTGGAATTCACATTTACAACTGCATCATTTAATTTCACCAGAATCAGTCGGAATCGGGTGCGATGGCATCAACGGCGACGATTGGAGATGGAAACCTTACGGATCACTACCCAGCACCGTGCTCGTGGATAAGTTTTACAACTTTCCGTACCGTAAGGTTGCACTTTAATGCGCGTCGTCGTCGTCGAAGCGCACACTACACAGAATCATGTTTACAAACCTTGTCTCCATCGTCAGCTTATCGCGTCTATTTGATCTGATAGACCGTCCGTTTGCGGGTGTACATATGCCAGAGGTTTTTGAACTGATTATTTCAATAAATTGTTGGAAATTTTTGGTTTTAACAAATTTCCTGAGAATCAGAACAAACATAATTGATCATAATTCAGAATGTAATGCCATGAAAACAATGTAATGCGTAAAAAAAATGATTGCTGATTTCATGCCGGAAATTGCAACAGTACGGTACCAGCATCTGGTACTAAATGCTAACCACTGCAGTTGCAATTGCAGAGATCAGTTATTCGACAAGTGCCCATGTGTTCAGATGCCTGATTAAATATTCGGATCGATTAGATTGATAAATCATTCATAAGTTTTGTAAAATCGTGTTTTAAGAATCTTACTAGACCAAACGAAGTTTCCTTGAACAGACCAAACAATGGAGAACCAATCGTACGCTACCGACTCCCAAGTAGATCTCACCAGTGCGGTAAGTTCTAATTTCTTACATTCAGCAATTCCTAAGATATGCTGAAAGGTTGCACCTAAATTTCTCAATCAATCCAATACGCAAGAAGTCGTTCATAACCGGTTCTGACTTGCATTACGTTTCTCGGGAAATCACCAATCGCGCGAAAGCATTTGTCCTCAAGCATTCAATGCACGCTAAGTTTGCATGATAGAGCTCCCCATCACAGGGAGTCGAACGTTGCGTCGTGGAGCCACCGGTCGGCTGGCTGGTAAAAACGTGTCCCGATTTACGTTGCACGTTCTGTTTTGATCCGGCTGTTCGTAATAAATTCTACCTATTTTGCATGCTATTCAAATTCGCGTGAACTGCGGGGCTGGACATCTTTATATCAGGTCGAACGATCGGCGGCATGGAACTGATTAAATAAATAGAATTGAATGATTTCCAGTTTGATTGATTGCCCGTTGAAAGTGTGTGATCATGATTCTGACATAGGACGTCAGTTGCATGGGCGGCGGGCGGAACAAATTGTTTGCGATGTTACGATTTAATTGAGTAATGGGATAAATAAACATTCTCGATAAATTGTCCACATAGTGTTTTACAGGAACATTTTGCATATATGAGTAACACAACTGTGTAATTAACTTCTTGGTCGAGAATTTCAACTGGAAAGGTGGATTGTTATAATTATCGAATATCAATCAACAAGACGGGTGGTGTAATAAAGATAGCGTCAACAGCACACAGAATATATTAATGGAATCTAAATCTATAGATTATCAATATTAATAAGTTTTACCGTGCGTGTCAGAACGATGGAATCAGTTAAAATCATACCTTCACTAAAAATGTTGTATCTCTTTTGTTTAACAGTCAGTTTTTATTAAATTTTCAGGGCTTTAGGCAAACTTATACATAGTTCTACAAAAGCGTCACATCTCATCTAAGTTTACATTATAAATCGTGTAAAGTTTTGAGACATTTCATGAAATGTTGCAAATATTGTATACAAAAGCCTATATTTGTAAACAACATTAAAAGCCTCCTAAATAAAGCTAAATTAATTAATTAATTAAACAACATTGCTTAAAAGTTGCTCGTTTGCGTGAAATGAATTACAAGTTTACGTGAATGAATGTTCACATCACAATTAAAATTCAGAATTTTTTGCTGTGTAATTGAGTACACTGCACTCATATTTATGGAATACATTTATTAACTACCATCTTTACAGAAGACAGGATCTTTAGGTTTTTCTTAAAAAATCTATTTATCATAGGGGAAACAGTTCTACTATTACGGAACGTTAGAAGCGTTAGGAGCACATTATTGTGTATGGAGGTTAGCAATGGGCGATTTTGGATTGAATCACAAAAGATCGATTCATTTCGTTCGAATAATCAATTTTTTGAAACGATCTCAAACACGACCAAAATCGACTGGATCAATCCTTTTCATTCAATTTTTGTTACGATCCAACATTTTTTTTTTTTCAATTTTGAAATTTAATATTGATTTTTTCTTTTGTCTTCGCCTTTGCACATCACTTGCCTTGAACATGGATTCTGAAAACAACCAGAGTGACGGTTCAGTAGAAACATTCATTTCTTATGACATATTTCAGGTTCTTCAGTCCTCTGCTATGTCAGAACTGGTTCGCCATGGAAGCATATCGGCAAAATTACTCAATTTCTTGCATCAGCCGGTTTTCCCACGTTCTGTCGATCCTTTTCAAGCAGGGGAGAAAACCCGTAAAGAATATCCCCATGTACCCCATTGCTCGTCACTTTTTATCCATAATGATAGCCGTGTTCCGTCAGAGGGGCTTTTCTCAAAAACTGGTGAAACCACACAGAATCGATATCGGCTCAATGCATAACGCATGGCTCAATTTGCTTTCTTGGGATCCCTCTCGTATAAGTTTTGGGATATCTGAATTAAGTACTTTTCGTACTTACTTGCTTTGACACTCCAACAATCTAATCGTTTTGTTTAATATGTTATTCTATCGATTTATAAATCGTTCATTTAATACCAATAAAACAAATATTTTAACCTGTTAAATCACTCACCTAATCAAGTATCTTGAGAAAAAACTTCCACATGTCAAATGGAATCAGAATAGTCATTTATTATATTCTCATCATGTATGTATGTTACACTCACAACTTTTACTGCGTTCGTACAACACAATTTATATCTAAATGATATATCAATGACAAATCAAATCAAATGACTATTATGAGTGAAATGTCATAACAAGATAGCTTATGAAACATAAAATCTATATCATATAGCTTAGACTGAACTTGGCGGTAATCCGCACCAACTTTCATATGATTCGTTGTATTTTAAACATTTCTGTGCCATTTTGAAAAATGAATCGATTCAAAAGATCGTTTTAAAAAGATCGAATCAAAATGATTGATTAAATTGGTGAATCGATTATTTTCAAAAAAAAAAACCGCTTCACTATGATCGATTCTTTCCTCAAGATCGCCCAATGCTCAGGGAGGTATCCATTCACAACAATAGACTGACATTTTTAAATTGCATAAGTATTAGTGCAGAACTTTGGGTAAATTCAAAGAATTTCTTGCACTTTTATACTACGTAAACTTTTTCTCATTATTTGGAACCAATTGCATCAACCTTTAATTTAATTTGGATTCGAACGGGGAAAAATTCGACCGCGCAAATTAGGAGTTAACTGCACAAAAAGCAGTAAAATTTTGTGGTTTATGCGGAAAATATGCTGACGATCGTTCCATTCACAAGAATTTTGACCTGTAATACCCAAGGATTCAACCCTCGATATGTTTCTCAAATGGGGCCAAATGAACATTTTGGCTCAAATCCCAACACAAAGATCTACTTCAAATATTTTGTACTAAAAAACGTTGACAAGGTGATCCTAACAAGCTTTTTTCGACCACTATGACTATGGCCCCAGTCTGGAACTTCCAGCTAGCAGTCTCAAAGTTACCAGGAACGGCTAAAAGACCAACAACTGGAACACTTATCCTAGTTTTATTTCGAGACTTTTAAGAAAACAATCAACTTTTTTTCAATGCAACAGAATATTTCGTGATGTAATCATAACGTTCACAAGTTTACTTACTTAAAGAACAGTGAACAATTCCCGAGGGGGACGACTCTATCTACGATGCAGAAAAAATTGTGTTTTGCTGTGGCTAGCTGCGCGCACGCTGAGTAGATAGAAAGAAGATTGATGACGATTATGAAGATTTCCTGCAAAAAGATGATGCGCGATGCAAATAGATGCGACAAATGAAAGAAGATTTTTTGAAGATTGATTCGCTAGTGTGAGATTGTTTTGAATACCGTGCGTGATTTTTTTTGATCTCTTGTTGCTTATGCAATGGTGCTTGGTGTGATCTTGCGTTTTTCTTTGTTGCCCCGTACAACCTCTATCACGCTGATATATTTTTCTGTTGCTGCGATGAGCATCTTCTTTGTGTGGTGTTAAAGAAGACAGTCCGAAAATACATGACCTTGATTATGCGTGGAGTGCGTTCTTTTGTACGTACGAGCTAGAAGAGCGTTATCAGTGATTGCGGTGGTTCAAAGAAAAAAATAAATAAAGCATTTCTGAAAACATGACGCTGCAAAGTCTCTAGGCCAATCGGGTGAGATCTTTCCATTTTATCTATTTATATTTTATTTTTTGTCACTGATTTATCAAATGCTCTATATTGACGAATAGAGTTGCCAAATCATTCACCCTCCCACTAACACAACTCTTTCCTTCCTGTGACACCTATGAAGGTAGTATGGGTTCCCTGCACCTTCTTAAGTAGATGTTGGATTAACTTTCCCTCCCTTCCCCTGCGATTGTAAGGATGTGGCCAGGTGTATAATGCGATGCTTGTATTGTAGATTTTATTTTCGTGTGGGGAAAATCACTAATCCCAAGTGATATTTTCTGCGTCAACACTCGATATTTTCTGCAAAACGTATTAGTTGACCATTATATAGCCACCCACGATTTGTACAATCACATATGCTATGCTATGCTATGCTATGCTATTGATTCGCTAGTGTGAGATTTGTTGTGCATCTAAACTTGAGATTTAGATGTGTCGCCCCCCTCGACAATTCCAACATATAACAATCATTGAATCTTTAAATTGATTGTAGTAAATTACATTCAATTAACGTAATTTCTGTAATGAATGCAATGCAATTCACACAGGTCGAAGAGACTAAAAAATAATACATCTGTAAATAGGCAATAAAAACGCTCTTGATTGGCTTTTAACCGACTTGAAAATACTAGTTAAAAAATCCTTTGATAAGCCCCCGTCGAGCTAGTGGAAAAAAGAATGGCCGCATAGAGTTCTCTACCACCGTTAGTATTATAGTAAATTCGTTTATTATTCAGTTCCAACCTGGATCGGGTATCAAGATTGGGTCTGCTTGTTTTCTGACAAACGTCAGTTTGCTCGTTTGTTTTTAAAACCTAGCTCAGGTTGAGGTTCGCACTGACAAAAAGTTCGGTTTCGCACTGGGTTGGAACTGGTTCCAACACCGATAAGAAACGAATTCGCTATTAGTGAGCAGTTTCACTAATACAAGCGTTTTACTGGTTGAAAAACAAAAAAAAAACAAACCGCTGCCAAGTCGAACACTTTGACAGCTGATTTCGTGGTTGAAAATAAAAAACAAATTGATTTTACACGGCTACACTAGCAACGTTGCATTGGTGAAATCTTGCGGCAAGAAGTCATTTGGCATTACCATGACAATTTAAAGTTCACCTTTTCCGCCACTCTGTCACTCTTTACTCTTATGGTAAAATCCCATCAGCAAACGTCAGTCTGTGCGTGAAACATGGTGGACATTTCCTTACCCCGGCCAGCGCCGGTGGTGTAGTGGTAAGCGTGACTGCTTTCTAACACCCCAATGGGTCTGGGTTCAATCCCAGCCGAGGTCGGTGGGATTTTTCTGAGGAATAAAAATCTCTGGTCACGTCTTCCTTCGGAAGGGAAGTA